ATTGAAATATAAAAATGTTTTATTCAACTCCCCCCTTACGAGCCCGTCCCCAGCCATTATTAGTCTCAAAGTGGGTTCGTCGTCATCGAAAATGTTAACAGTTTTTACACGTGAGAGAAAAATAAGCACGTGAACAAAAATCAATGCAAGAGGTTTTAAGAAACCAGTTGAAAAGATATTGAATGCTTGATGTTTATTTAGAAATCTGCTAAACAGAATAATTTATTCAAAAATACAATAGTAATTTTTAATAATTAAAACTTTCGACATGACTCAATACTATGGGTCGAAACGTTGTAATTACTTAAATGAGAACTTGTTTCCTGTAAAAGTTGCTGTTATCATGTTTTCGAAGTAATCATATTGAGTTTTGTTCATCGTGTTACTTTCATTCCTGATATCATAACTGTATTGTTTTTAACAAGAGGTCTTCGGTGGCCTCGCTACTCTGGATGCTAGAAAAGTGTTCATGATGTCAACAGAGAATGAGGTTAAATCTAAACATCAGCATGACACGAAGTTATTGGAGACACGTGCTTAGGGCTTTCGACTTCGGTAGTGAGGAGAACTTATTATTTAGCGCATTAAAATACAACACGAAGCGCCCTGGCAGACTAATAGAGCCAGACTTCAGCAGCAATGGAGAACAATATTTAGCTTGAGTGCCCAGCCATGCCGCAACCCCTGCTGGAGGAAAGCCATGCAACCAGACCGATATCGATCCAACCGTGCTCTACTATCTATACTAGATGTGTTTGTTTGAAGCCTACTGCGCGTGCGGTACCAAATCCATAGTACGTGGGTGAACTACGGTACACTTTGCGCATCACTGATATGCCCACTTCAAATTAGGAGGATCCCTGATATCTCCTCTGATTTGTTTTGAAGTTATAATCTTTTTTATTTATTTATTACGAAAACATGACTACCGATGATGGGTACGTAAAGAATAAACGTGAAGGGATATTTTTTTTATTTCGTATTGTTTCAGTTGTTGGTGCCGTTAGCAAAAGTAGCACTGCCCTACTAACAAGGCTTCTTAATCTTAGTCGACCGTTTGTTCCATTGTGATTCGTACAGAGTGCTTGTTGCTACAAGTACCAAATCTAAATCCAATCCATATTCTAAAAGATTTAAGTTAAACATTAGTGAACGTGTCCCGTGTCTTACTAGGGTATTTGGCCTATTAACCAAAAGCTAAATTTGGAGGTGACTGTGTTCGCTGAATAAGTTGTTGAACGTTAACTCAACCTTTAGCTGTGGTGCCAAACCATTTTTATCTTGAAAAATGTGTTATTACCCACAAAACCTGTTTTAAATGTACAAGTTAGGCCTTATGGGCAAGATTTCATACTGTTAGTCTAGTACATTAAAGACTGTATTTTAATCTATACAGGGTGGTCCAACTTTATTTCCTATTTTAAAATTTAATAATTAACTAACTAAGGGATTAAACCATGCAGCTTTCAACATCTTGTAGCCCAACTCAAACAGTTTTCATTGTCATGTCAGCAGACTTCTATGTGTGCACCATTAATGGCTCTCCCACATCTAACTGATATTTGATTTCAGTCCAAGGTCATTGCATGGTGTCTACAATTACAGTGGCAAAAGATTTCTGTCATCCTGGTGTGTAACTCCATGATGTTTGCTATAGGTGTGCAATCAACAATATCCTTAACACCCCCCCCCCCATACTTCTTTCCTGCACTATTGTCTGTAGTTATGCTGCACCAAAGTCACTGACTAGGTCTTTGCAAGCCAAATGATGCATTGAGCCTTTTTTTGCATGGATGACATTTTATGGGGGTAACACTACTCACTGGAGTGAAAAGAAAAACATAATAAAAATTGCTTAAGTTGGGCTACAAGATCTTGACAACTGTATCATTGTATTTCCTTAGTTATTTAATTATTAATTTTAAAACAGGAAAGATAATGTTGGACCACCCTGTATATTACAATTGTAAAAAAAAAAATATGCTACAGTGTATGAATGGTAAGGGAGTATCATTTTTTACAATTTACAAAAGTCCTTTTTTATGTATAGAATTAATGAGCCCAGTTTTGTTACATAAAATAAAAATGTTAAAATAATATCTGTTCGTACAACTGTTTTATTCACAGTAAAGTAAAAATTTTAAAACAGCAATAATATATTTTTCTGCACCACCATTTTGTTCATATGAAAATAATGTCAAAACAACAATAATATATGGTTGTCTGTGCCACTGTTTTGTTAATAAGAAAGTAAATATTTTAAATCAGTAATAATGTCTGCTTGTTTTTATCACTCACAGTGTCAAGGAAAGCCACCAAATGGCAGAAGCCAATCAGAAAAAGAATGAGAAACTTAAAGAGGCTCTGGGTATCAGTGAACATTTTGTTGAAGGAAGTTCTTTAGATCCACAACGTAAACAGAAAGAAGCCTTAGCAATTGCAAAGGCCCAGAAAAAATACACGTGAGTTTTGTTGATAAGAACTTGATACTTGAGAACAGTTATAGTTTTGAAACTATGGAATGTCCTAAAGTAAATAAATATGTGTGTGTGTGTGTGTGTTTTTAATAAGATGTAACCCTTAAATTACTGACTTCTGTTGTTTCCTATTGGAAGGTTCCATATATTGGGTAAACTTTTTTTGCCTGTTACAGGACTCTGTTAAGAAGTGATACAAAAATTAATTGAAACCACTTATTTTTTATGTAAAATATATAAGTATAGGGAACCCTAGCAGTAATTAATAGGATTAATGATATTTTTGTTTACATTTCTTTTGTCTAACTTATATGTTACTTACTTACTAGGGACCCTGTAACCAACAAGATCATGGAGATGCAAGCAATTTGTTGCGTAAATAGGTAGAAAATTTGTTTAAAAAGCTTAGGGGTCCATAATTTTTGGGTTAAGTATTCACAAAAGTTTGAAACTGAGTTTTTAATTTTAACATCTGATTGCTTAAGCATTTAGTGAATAGAATGACCAGTGATTCTAAATATTTTTTATTCTGGTTTATATCCCACAAATGCTTATTTATTTATTTTTCAATTTCCTAAATTTCTGAATATCATTTGATTTTGAAGTGTTTTTTTTTTTAAAGCTGAAACAGGCAGTAGTATTTATAGTTTTGTAATTTTTGTTGATTAATGTTTTTTCTTCAACAACAGTTTGGTTCGTGATTCTAGCAGCTCATCTTCTCCAGAAAGGGAAAAGAAAACTAAATCCACAGAACAAGAGGAAAAGTTCGTACAATTTTTGTTGCATGGATATAGTTTTTGAGTTGAAAGATGTGTATACAGGGTGTGTTTGGGTTGTAGATTTTCTGGAAAGACATACATACATGTTTTACAGACCTTAAGTCAGAGAATTTCATGAATTTTAGTTGTGGTTATGGAAAATCAAATGACAGGTGAGCTTACTACAGAAATCACATGCAGTGGCTGACTTCTAATTTGCCCTGTGTCTAATGCCCCTGAATGGCTGTGGAAATTTTAATAATAGGTCATGGAATTCTGCATTCTGTGAAATGTATGAATGTTTTATATAGTTTTGGCAGTTGTTATTTGGGTTAAAGTATTAATAGATTGAAAACAAAAATATTTGGAATATTATTGGGAATAGGCTTAAGATGTAGCAACTTATCAGTATATTCTGGATATGCCATTAGTATAGAAGAATTAGGCAGATGAAACAGTAACTTATTGCTATTGTACAAAATGTGTGTGTCAAAGGAATAAATCCAAAACTGTAGGAGGAAGAGAGGTTAAAATTTGTAAAGAAGAATGCACATTGTGTTTGAAATAAATAGTATTTCCTCTTTGTTTTTGTTTTTTTATGGATTTTTTTGCACATTTAAAAATGCAAAATCTTTGATGTTTCTGTGGTAAGTGTGTTTACCAAGTAAGATCAAAAGTATTAGTACTTCTAAAGTGTGGGTAACTATGTCATGTGGTCTGCTGTATTTAAAAAAACACTTTATGGTTTTTTGTAGTGTGGGTAACTATGTCATGTGGTCTGCTGTATTTAATAAAACACTTTATGGTTTTTTGTAGTGTGGGTAACTATGTCATGTGGTCTGCTGTATTTAATAAAACACTTTATGGTTTTTTGTAGTGTGG